ATATATTGTAAGCTACAGAAGTCTTCAAGAGTTATTAAACAATAAGAACGAGTACTCAATATCACAGTTGGAACGTAGTAAAAACTACCCTTCAGCTATGACCAGAACCACTGTTTCTCAGACTGCTTTGAAGTGTTACCAAAACTCTTAGACAAAGTCAGAAAAATGCCATTCTTTGAAAGAGACAATGAATGCTGCACAGGGAACAATTTAGAATTCTCTCTGGGAATAGTGCTGGAGAGAGAAGAAAGAAACATTCAAGCAAGCTAAGTCTTCTTGTAGTCTATAGCCCCCAAGGAGACTGAATCATGTGACGGGCTTGAACATAAAGCTCTTTGTAGGCAGCAACATTAAAAAGAATCGACTTTGCAAGATTTACAGTTCTACACAGAGAATCCTCCCAACTATCTGGTATCTACTCAAGCATTCAGTGCACAGATGCTCATGACTACGCTTTCTCCCATTTTGTACAAGGAGAGAAAGCCAGGCAAGTCCTCTGCTACTAGAATTTTGCAAGACAAGGTTTACTTAAGGTAAAAAGAGAGGGGTGGGAATCATTTCGTAGTACCCACTTTGCTGCTGCTTCGAATGTGTAGAACTTCCAAGATAAACCTTGCAGGTCATTGCAGTGCACACCACAATCTGGGTTGATAACTAGATACACTTCTTTGGTGCAAAACATAGCAAATTAGAACAGATTTGGAGCTGAATTACACCAGTGACATAAAGGCAGAAGGATTAACCAGCTTTCTTACTCCTAAAGATTTCCCAGCTGCACCAAAAAAATATACTATTCCTGCTATCCTCCTCATCCCTTACATTTCAAAGGAGCACTGCAGAGCATGCTTCAGCAAACACAAGAATATAGAGCTCATTCTTCTTTCAAGAGACAACCCCAACCCTTTCTCTCTTTTGTTTAATGTATATCATAAGATTTCCAGTAATAACATTCTCAGCTTCATCAATATGACCTAAACAACAACCAAACAGTGATTTGAATAAAATTAGAAACATTATATATTACATATATTGTGGACGAGCCTGTACGTCTGCATTATAACTTCATTTACCTGTATAATCACTGGTATATTGTGGTATGTATCATAATATACTATAAAGTAAAAATGAAAACCCCTCTTAAACTACTTTAAATAAAATTCAGAATTGAATATGTGACAAATCCTCAAAGAGACACACGACTTTATGCAAGAGATTTACAATTCTAATGGTTTCTTTCCTTTAGTGAATGTGAGATATATACACAAGCACCTTCTCTCCCTCCTTGTCATATTTATCACGATGTTCTATTTCTGGTTTTAGTTATTTTCAGCAGTGAAGAGTGAGGAGCTACATCAATTTATTTAACAAGTTGGTAGCACTGAGGCTAAATTAAAAGACACAGAGCTTTATGCAAATATATACATTGTGAGTGCACTTGTACCGTAAAGTTGTTTTACATCTAGTCATGGCTCTAGTAATGTATTTAAGCTCTTTCCTCCCCTACCCCCACAATCCAGTTTATAACAGACTTGACATCTATCAGCTAACAATTTCCCTATTTTCCAACAATCCTCAAAATTATTTACTTTTCTCTTGTCAATTCTAACATCTTTAGCAAAAGTTCTTTTTCCACAAATGAACTGGGACTAGTTCCCCTAGAACTGTAACATCTAAACCAAATCCTCCAATACTTCGTGCATTTCCTAAAGACTACATTCATTCCAGAACAGGCAGTATGGCAATTTTGCACACATATTAATATTTGTGGGAGTAAAGGTTAAAGTAGGCATGTAGGTGTCCTCTATCCACCAGCGAACCAAGAGACACATCCACCTTACTGAAAAGCAGTAAGGGATGCTAATTATGTAACCACTAATGGTCATGATTTTCCACTCTCTTTGATAACTACCATTAATATTCAATTAAAAAATTGAGCAGTACTGAGAGTTTTTAGTTAGTCTTCCAGAAAAACTTGGAGTTAGAGAAGATTCAGTCTATTAGAAATCACTAGAAATGTGATGGTGGTCTATCTTACCTTCAAAGGCTGTATGCATCAGTGCATTAAGTTTGCATCATTTCTGACATAATATACTGTAGAGTATATTCTTCCTATTTTATTTTGAACAAACGGTCATAAAGCAAACCTGACATAATACTGAAAATGTGTATCATACCTAATACAAATGATAATGAGCATGGGATTAATTCTAGAGTCACCTGAAGAATAACCCAAGGAACTACAGGCCAGTCAGCCTCATCTCCATCCCTGGAAAGGTGATGGAAAATCTCTTTCTGGATGTCATCTCTAAGCAAGTGGAGGAAAAGGTGGTTATCAGTCAACATGGATTCACCAAGGGGAAATCATGCTTGACCAATCTGATAGCTTACTGTGATGGCATAACTGGCTGGGTAGATAAGGGGAGAGCAGTGGATGTTGTCTACCTCGACTTCAGCAAGGCTTTTGACACTGTCTCCCATTATATCCTCCTAGGGAAGCTCAGAAAATGTGGGCTAGATGAGTGATCAGTGAGGTGGATTGAGAACTGGCTGAATGGCAGAACTCAGAGGGTTGTCGTCAGCGGCGCTGAGTCTAGTTGGAGGCTGGTAGCTAGTGGTGTTCCTCAGGGGTCAGTACTTGGCTCAGTCTTGTACAACTTATTCATCAATGACCTGGGTAAAGGCACAGAGTGTACCCTCAGCAAGTCTGCTGACAACAAAACTGGGAGGGGTGGCTGATACACCAGCAGGCTGTGCTGCCATTCACCAAGACCTGGACAGGCTGGAGAGTTGGGCACAGATGAGCCTGATCCCTGGGGAGGAACAACCCCATGCACCAGTACAGACTTGGGGTGGACCTGCTGGAGAGCAGCTCTGCAGAGAGGGACCTGGGTGTCCTGGTGGACGACAGGTTGACCGTGAGCCAGCAGCGTGCCCTGGTTGCCAAGAAGGCCAATGGGATCCTGGGGTGCATTAAGAAGCGTGTGGCCAGCAGGTCGAGGGAGGTTCTCCTCCTCCTCTACACCGCCCTAGTGA